CTCAGTTTTCACACTCTTAATTGTTTTACAGATGTTTCCCATCAAAGTCAGTACCAAGTTTCAACAGTGTCAACTTGATAATTTTATTTTTCCCTTAAATGCCTATTCTTGATATAGTTTTCTCAGCTCTTACAATACCAACAATCTATCTTGGGCAGGGGAGTTTCTACCATTAAATTTAGTGCCAACTAAACCCAACTAACATAACGTGTTTTGAGTTCCAAACACTGCATCTCCCTGCTTCAATCCATCCTTCAGATGTCTGGGACTCACCTCTGCTTCTGGTGCCAATTCAAAGCCAACAATAAGCCAAGTGTCAGAGAGATGAAAGTAGAAAGAGATTGATGACCACTATCTTCAAAGTCTTAGGTATAAATCTTGCATTGGTATTATCAGTTTATCATTGTAAAAAAAAAAAAACAACAAACCAAGAGAACACAAAACCCTTAAACAATAAACTATTTTGGATTTAGCCCACTATGAAGTATTTGAGAGGTAAATTGACCAGCTCTACAACATGTAAGATAATTCAATATTGCTACAATTTACTTGGGTTAAAATTTGTCATTTAAGCATTACAGAAACAAAGTTTTGGAGGGAAAGGCTCCTTGGAGAGCTGCTGCCTGTTAGTATAGACAGTCAAAGTCTGTCTGGCTCCAAAAGCCATAACAGAGTGGCCAAAAATAGTTCTTTCTATTTGCAAAAAACAATCCCACACTATTCAAGATGTCCTCTTTTTTGCCTCCTACAAGACAAGGATCTGCTATCAATTACTTCTAATCTAAAAGTGAGTTGGCTTTGAACAAATTACAAGATCTCTCTTTGCACATGCCATTTTACTGAGTGACAAGTATCTGCCTCTGTATGTACTACTTGTATGTTTGCACAGATACATACATAATACTATGTCTTGACTCGCTGTTGTTGCTAAATTATCCTTAAAGATTAAATAATAATTCTGTGCAGCTAGGTCTTAAAAATTAGCTCTTTCTTTCATCTGCTGAAAAGCTTATGTAGCAACTCCTTTATGACAGCAGGGAGTCAGCTTTCCACGGAAGAAGACTCAGTGTCTGCGAGTAACCGATTTGGAAATTTATCATTCTTTCTTCCTTTCTACAACCACTGCTACTTTATGTCAAGTAATCAGTGAGGACACTGCATAACATTCTCCCCACAGTGTCTTGCCTACAAAGGTTCCACATTGGAACTAAACATTTTCCCTAGCATTGTTTTCAGTATGTTCCCCAACCTCTATTTTGGCAGCATAGTACTAATATTGGTACCAACAGTTTCTCTCATCAATCATCCACTTTCAAAGTTCAGTGTGCTTTTGTGGATTCTAGCTGGGATTTTCATGCGCCAAATAAAAGATTTTGGTATTTTTTTGGGACACAAGTGAAACTTATTATTAACGTAAACTCTGGCAAGGAAGAATATTCAGGAAGACCACTGAAAATCCAAAGGCTGCTAGACCAGGGAGCAAAAGCCCTTTGCTAAAGAGCAGTTTGTCACCATCCCTTGCAATATGTAATTTAGAAAATAAAAGAGTGCCTGTATCCACAAGGCGCTCTCAGGACAGAGGTTTATATATGACACAGCAAAATCTAAAACCAACAATCAGTCTCTGCTATGTTAATCCTCACAATGTCCACTCTACAAGAAGGTGACCCTGTGCTTACAAAAAAACACCTTTCTAGGATTGCTGCCTAACAAAGGCTGGCTTTAGTTTTAACAAAAGTAATCTCTCCAAAGGCTGTCATGACAGAAGAAGTATGTTCCAACCTTAATGCAAACCTCACAGGTCACCTCTCCCTTGCAAGGGGAGAAAGGGAAAGCCTCAGTAAACAGCATGAAGGTGAAAGAACACAGAGTCAAGAAAACAAAATTCAATTCCTTGTGTAAGAAAACTCAGTAAATCAATATCGTACAAGGAAGTGCTTTATATATCAAACTGACAGCACATTTTGGAAAACTTACTTCAATGCTTGAACTCCATGAGGAGCATAACTTACTTTTGCTAGATAGCTATGGAAAAAGTTTAACTTTTTAACTTTACAACACCAAATTAATAAAAATAGCAAAGATAGCTGTGCCTTAAATACAATATAAAAAGAAGTATCATGCTTCAAAAACCATTTGAATGTTTCTCTATCCCTTCAGGAGATGTGTTATCTCCTGAAGCTGAAGTTACTATTTAGTTCCTGTCAACTACTTCTCTTTCATTTCTGTATTTCACTTCAAGGATATTAACAAAATTTAGGAGCACAACAGAACTTTTTACAAATATAGCTTTGACTCTTTTAACAATGAATATCAGGACCAAACCCAATTTTTTGCTCAGCTTATATTCCAAACCTACAACACATTTCAACTTAATAGGTTTTTTTTCCTAGCAGTTAAAAAGCTTAACAACTATGAGCATGGTGACTGTTCAGAAACATTAACTTCATAAATCTTTTTTGACAGCTTCATAATTAAAATTTGAAAGATATTGTGATCATAGAGCTTTGTCTGTTAGCTTCCAAGTTTCAGTTCACAATTTATGCCAAGTGGCTAAGAGCAAAGACAGAAAAATAAGCTAATTTATTATTTCAGCTTATTGCTCTACAGTACATCACTGCCATGTTTACCATTAATAGAAACCTGGTGAGTTAAGTATTACAGGTGGTAAGTAGATTGATATTAGTCACTTGCCCATCCTGCATCATTTAAGGGCATTTCAGTTATTTAAAAAAATCAATCACTCTGAAAAGTTATTCTTAAGAGTTGGAATAGAATGTATTTAGTATTTGTTTCTGAAAACAATACAGGTGTTACATTAATAATTGCTTCACCTCTCCTGTTTTTACCCAGTCTCCTATATACAAAAGGTTTATACACAGTGCTTTTAATAATTTTGTCAGCATGATCAACATAACACATTTAAAGACTGAAATTTACTGTCAGCTAAAACCTTTATTGTTACTGGTGTACCTAACTGGCAGAACCATGACCCTGTATGATTCTGCACTAAGTGAGGCTCAGTTTTGTTACTCCCTAAAAACAGCAAAGGTTTGCTAATTGCAGTTAAATTGCTACAGTACAACCACATTGCTGAGCACAGCTGAAAAGCAGCACACATATAAACAGTGTCCATCAGTTCACAGCAAAAGCCAACTGCTGCAGCTTAACAATCTCTGCACTGAGTTTAAACTCTGTAACATTTGCATTGGGCTAGAGCATAAACCATCACCACTGCCCAACTAGCCTGTACACCTGCTTTTCAAAAACTTGGTTCATTTTAGGAAATATTATCTATGATTTCCTGGTTGTCCTGTTTTAGTCAGGCCAATTTCATTTAGTTTGAAAATGTAATTTGAATGACAGCCTTTAATTTTCATGCATTGACAGTCATGATAAAAAGCATGAGGTCTATTTACTGCACATAACATTTATAGAACTGACAACCTGAATAATAGTGGACTTGAAAAAACTTTTCCCCACTCAGATACAGGACTGAGAACAGAGCTAGAAACTGCACTGTTATTTTTTGAGCAAGTGAATTTGAAAATTATATTCTAGTCAAATATTTCACCCTATTTAATGTTGGTTTTCTACTTTTTTGAATTGATATTTCTTACAATGTGCCAGTTTTGGTAATTGTTTTGACACTGCTATGCAGCCATGAAGTCTCCTCCATAGAATCAGCCTTAGAACCAAAACATCCAAAAGTTACTCTCACATAAGTAACTTTCATAACAATTGGTAGCACTTGAAGTCTTTTAAATGATACAAAATTCTACCTATTGTTTACAACTAATTCAACTGTCTCAAACTATTTATAAGTTTCCAGTTAACTAGCTCATTGACTAGACAGTTGATTAGAACTTATTAGCTTTCCACAGTGGCCTACAGTGTACTTATATTACTGACTCCAACATTGTCATTCATTCTAAAGATGCAGAAAACTGTCAAAAATGAATTGACTGATGTGGTTTCAAACATCTTGTATTTAAAGTTTTAGTCTTAAATTCTCATTCTCATTTTAACTCTTAAGTGTTCATATGGAGTTTTAACAAAGAAGTTATCTATGTTTGTATCCACTACCTCTGTATTCTCTAACAGGCCAATGTGTGCTCTGACACTTAATTTGCTTAATGAAATAACTAATGTCAAGAACTTACTGAAAAGCAGCAACACAGTACAACAGAATAAAGCTTTAATTTTGACGTCTATTATCATGCTTAAAAACCCCTATAATACTAGCATTTATTGAACAAATTAATTTGCTTAATCCCTTATGGAAATCCAAACAGTTTTCCACACCTGTATAGAAGTATTCACAATTACTCTAAGGCGTAGTGCTCTTTCACAAAAAAGGTGTCACACTAAAACATTAATTACATTGTGTTAATGACACAAGGATGTGTGTTCCAACAGCAGTAGTGCTACACAGACACAGAAATTCACTGTATGGTACTAAGTAGATCAGCAAGAATTTTGCATGAGGTATTTAACTTGATGATTACTGGTATTTAACTTGATGATTACACCCCAAGAAAATGACACAAGTAACTGGTGTAAAAGGCACACATTCAGAACATAACCATAACTTCCTTAAAGTTGTTCTGCCATCTTTAGCTTTTCTAAATGTAGCTGTTCCCCTTCCACTAACATCTGTTTTCTCAATTTATTACAGACAAGGTACTGCTTACTGCAGTCAATGTGTCTTGTCAAACACAGCTTAACACTGCAAAAAAACATTAGTTTAGCTACCAAGAGAAAATACTTATCTCAGAAGCACTGTAACCATAAGAATTTCCACTATATGTTGCTATTCAAGAGTCAGTTTAATCCCAAATTGTGCTTTTAAATCCACGCTTTCAATGGCTTTTCACACAAAAAGCATATATTTTTCATATATTTCATGCAACAACTGGCTCTTCAGTTTGCTAATTCAATCACTGACAAAAAAAATGTTCCAAGTTAATACACTGTCTTTGCTAAGAAGTAAGACTTACCTAATATGTAGATAGTCTTCTGATCACTTTTCTGACCAAGGGCATTAGTGACCTTACAGATATAAGTCCCAGTGTAGTTGTAAGTCAAAGGGCTGCTGAACTGCAGAGTATTGTTAACAGCCAACAATCCTTCAGGCCATTGTCCATCCAACCTAAAAGAACAGTTATATTTCAAATTTCCTGTAAAAGTTTCTTCCATTTTATGTTTAGGAAATCTAACAATGATCTCTGAAGCTTGAATGTCTTTAAATGTATTTAAATAGGTTAATTTCTTCTAGAATTGTGAACATTGGTAATATTGATTAGTTCTTACATATGTTTCAAATTCAAATGAGAGAACTGAGAACCTAGTGCATCTGAAGAAGCAAACAGTACTGCTATTAAGGGCTTTTTTTAAACACAGGAATTTTTATGTGCTGAAATTTCTCATCACAGTGATTTTGAACTAAGCCTGGGATGGACGTCCACAGATTTGTGAAATGTGGATTATATGTAAGCTTTTAAATTCTTTCATCAGAGATATATGTAAATAATAGTTGGATCCTTATTAGAGCTATTGGTCCTTGCTCTACATGCTACAACACACAAAGCTCAGTCTACCTTGAGTAACTAAAGAGACTTTACCCTGAGAGTAATGACAAACTGTTTAGGCACATAAATTTACAAGATATCCACTCACCTGTATTCATACAAACACACATCTTGTATTCTCCTTTTAAAATGCTAGATAAAACCAATATGACCAATACAAGTCATACAGCCTTTGTTTTCAAAACATGCATTTACTGCATGCGAAGTGATTATACCACTTGAATCATGTGGCAAGTCCCTTTTCACAAATATTTACCTGCTCCACATAAATTCCATAGGTAATGGATTTGCATCAGCATTACATTTGAGCTGAACATTTCCTCTTCCAATGAACCAGTTTCCATCATAGCCAGTTACTGAAACTTCTGGAGCATCTGACAAAAAAAAGATTTCATCTATGAACAATCACAGTTTTTACATTAAAAGTGAATCACATGTAAGATAGAACAGAAAGGTACTTTTTTTCCTATTATTTTGTGTGTATTTTAGTTGTTGGTTGCCTTTTTGTTTTAATTGAAAGACCACCACCAAAATATACAGTGAACATACTAATACAGTTCCAAGCTACAACATTAATATGCAACAATGAAGAAATTGCTTTAATTGATGCAACTTTCCCAGTGTGTTTTCAGCAAGCACACAGCACCTTGAGGAAGTGAGAGAACTTCAGAAGAAAAAAATCAGTTTCATGTTTTTGGGAAGTGAGTAATGGTAGCTTAGAACTACTTCTCACTAAAAAGGTACAGCAAAGGATCAGAAACAACCCTGGGTAAAAACAGGTAATTAAGAAATCACCAAGAAGTTCCCAAATACCAACTATAAAGACTAAATTATCCACTGGCACCAAGAAGTACAATTATGTTACAGCTCTAAAAAGCCAGTAGGTGATTTCAGAGAGGCCTTGGAAAAATATTTAAAAGCCAAGGAACAGACAAACCAGTATGATTTGGGATAAGCTCTGGAGCTGAGATGAAGAAGCAGTTGCAAAAGTTACTAAGTGTCAGGAAAGACTGAAGAGCACACACAGCTTCTCACTTACTGCTGTGTACCTTGCTATATAACCTTGTTAGAAATTCTGAAACATGCATTAACACTAATCTCAGATGAAAATATTAGGACCAACTTCCACCCTCACTTCATTTTCAATAGGAAACAATTATTTTATTCACTGTTTGAGACAATACAAATCCTCTACAGTTTTATTTCTGTATCAATGGCCATCTAGAACTTTATTTCAAGGTCAAATAAAATAAAGCAGTGCCAATCACTATTTTATGCCAAAATGAGTGACAGAACAAAACCAAGCCAAAATCAAAACAGCCAAGTCTACTTTTTCCAGCCAGTACATTTGCTCTACTTGAACTGACAGACTCCTGTGATTTAGGAGCTTTAAAGCAGCACACAGACAAGACACGACACCAAAGGAACAACATGAAAATAGTTGGTTTTGTTCATTTATGTACTGTAACAAAAAGGGACCAGAAGCTTAAAGCTTATTTATCTTAACTGGCTTTAACTAAGCAACATTGTAAATCACCTTGCTTTGTATTCGGAGCTTTTAAAAGCCATACATTATTTAAAGAAGCCTGCAGGTTTGAATTATATGAGTAATCTGAAGCTGAATAACAAACACTAGGCATGTATGTATTATTTTCTTGTTTTCTTGCACTAGTTGACAAAGCTTGGTGAATAATCTGAAAATAACTTACTGACCACCACAAGACCTGTTTTCAATCTTGCATTTCATACAGGACTCTTCATTAGTATTCTTTTTAATACTGCTGAGATTGTAAGACACTATAAACAGCTTATGGATCAACCCTCATGTTTACCCATGATTCAATATCCAAAACAGCAGAAATGCATTCTAGCTTCATGACTTGATTTTCACTACAGAGACCCTAGGCTTTTACTCCTGGCTGACCTGCCTCTTATCACAGCTTTTCTATACAGTTTCCATTTTCCTGAAGCATGAAGCGCTCTTCTCCTTCCTGTGGAAGGAGTACACTGTTTAAGGGGGAAGTTGCAAGGAGTAGTAGTTAGGAGTAGTTAATTACCTCACAGAATACTTACACTGTATGTCCAGCATGTAAGGGTATCGCATCTCCTTTGCAAAGGCAGGGTGCCTCACCACACAAGTTATGCGTCTTCCTCTTGCAAACCGAGTAGGGACAATCACATAGTGGCTCACAACTGTCACAGTTTCATTTGGAAACAAAGTAGAGGTGGATTCCATTTCACCAAGGCCTCCTTCCCAGTCAATCTGTGCAGCAGGTTTTCCAGTGGCTGCTGTACAAGTGGCTGCTACTGTCCTATTTGCACCATCTATTAGAGTGTTTGGTCCTTTCCTTAAGCTCACAACAGGTTCAACTAAGGAGGGGGGAAAAAAGGAGATTTAAACAAGAACTCCACATCTTTGAAAGTGTCACTACTTAAAAGTGAAACAAGATCTAATCCATTTCAGACACCCATGTCAATCAGACATCCTAGAAGAGCACACATATCTCAAGAGATGACAGCTCTACAAGGCTTTGGCCTGCTGACACTGCCCCCCTTTGTCCACCCATTCAAGTTCAGTGCTGTTCATTCACTACATTTAATGCACTGGCAGGGAATTCCACAGTGGTTAGGTCCAAAACACCAGCTGCAGTGCTCAGTTGCAGCATCTGACAACAGTAAACTTAAGGTATTAGGTTACCTTATGAAATGACACTGCAGGTTTTTTTTTTCCAAAAGCTTAGATTCTGTTGCATTTTCAAGCATTCAATAATTAATCTATACTGTCAGTATAGACTGAAATTTACTTCTGCGTTCTAACACCCTTAAGCTTTTTTTGATCACTATTATAGAACTGACTTCCATGCTGCATCTTTATTATATATACACACCACACACTGAACAAAGGATCTAATAAGTACACAGAAAAACACAATTGTATATAAAATTCATCTAAGTTTTCAATATACAAAGTAATCTATATATAACATTTCAACAACAAAATAAAATTCATTGTTTTATATAGAAATAACATTTTGCCTATATGGAACTCAATACTAAGTCCAAAACTAAAGGAATCTGCATGTGGAAGGATGTGAGCTCCTTGTAAAGCCACTGCTGACCCTAAAATTTTAAAAACCTGGGGAACATACTTCTTTCTAAAAGGAAGTTGAGCTCTTCGTGGACAAGTCTACTGTTGAGGGCCACAGACTAAAAAGCTTCCAAAAAATTTCTTTCTGGTTTAGCAGATCTGTACAAGCCACCCACCAGTTGCAGCCCAAGTCAGAAGAATGACCTGGTGCTGTTTTAGAATGGCCCATTTGTGTCACCAGCTCTGTAAGGGACAGCTGTGCAGCAGTGTACCCGCCTGCTCCACAATCCTGGTCTTTTGCTCTCATCTGGCCACTGGAGTCCTCTGAAGGAAGGTCATTGCTACTCACCATAATGCTTCAGAATCCACCTCAGTGGATCAGCCCTCACTAATCACAAAGCAGAGACAAGTCTTGCAACTTCTGTGCCTTTCAGTATCAGAAGGAGAAAAGTTAGTTCATGGAATTTCTTTCCAATAAATTGAAGCTGACCCACAGACATATCTTGTAACAGAACAGAGCAAAGTTCACTGTACCTGGCAAGTTCTCCAACTGCCTACACCTTCCAAAGATAACAAATATTTTCAGCTTCAGCCCATTCAGGAATCACGATCAGTTTTTTACTGTTTTCTGCTCAGTCTAACACTGCTCATGTCTGAACAAGTTGGTTTATTATTTGCTCAATTGCACTAAAGGAAAAGGCAACTATAAATGGATAACCTTATAAAAATGTGTGTTTTCTGTTCTATGCTTAGAAGTGCTTGAAGAATATAAGTTGTTATGAAACTGAAGATTGTTTGGGCAGATAAGGAAAGCAAATTATTTTTACTTTGTTTCTCTGAATGCACACCCTCTGAGATTTGTTAGTAACCCTACCGAAAATAAGCCAATAGCAGTTTTTTTCTGCCAAGTTTTACACTCACTTTTCTAGATCTGAAGCATTTCTAATACAGCTTCTTTCAAAATCTGATTCCCTGCTCTGCAACACCAGCAATAGCTAGTGCTTTGTGCAGTAAGCTTGGATATCTGATGTACATATGAGGCATTGTTCCATCTGCAAAAAAAAGCCTTTAAAACCTGGTATGGAGAACTTGACATTACATAGCCTTGTTATCTGACCTACAATTTGGTTTTCCTGATTTAATATGAACACTAGTGCCCTGTTCTCCTCAAATCACTGGTAGAGACTTCTTCAATAGTGTCTGTAGTATTACTAAAATGCAGAAGTAAAACCCCAAATTTATACTTAGAACTTTACATGTATGAAAATTCTAATTTTTGCTGTACTCCTCCCCTCCCAAGATCTCCATAACAGTAAAATAAATTAAATTAGCAACTATCATTAGCATTTCATGCCAAAATTGTAGACTCCAATAATTTCAGCTTGAAATAAAAGTTTGACAAATGTTCTATTCCTTTGATTTTTCTTTTAAAAAAAGGCATGCAACTGCATAATTTTGCCTCCACCTCTTTGGTGAAGGGATACATAGGCAAACAAGAACTCTTAACTAAGTTGCAGAGATGTCCAGACCCAAAGCAGAAGTCAAGTAGCCAGAAAGCATCATAGGCTAAATTTAAAAACTCACTTTCTCAAATGATACCAGCCATTTGTCAGTTTGAGTTCACTGAGTAATATTTGGTTTTACACTTGTCAACTAGACACAAAGCTGAACTATTCAAAACTACTCAGCATCACAAAATATACTTATTCCCAGTCCTACAGGTTTCCATGCTTTAGTTTTTTTTATACATCAGAAATGTTTAGGCTTCTACTGTCACATCTTCCCACAAATTGTGATTCTTGTACTACATACCAACTGCAAGATAACTAAACTGAAAAATAGAAAGCAACTGCAATTAGGATACTTATTTCTTTAGTTTATCATTCAGGACTACTCTGTCCCAGCAACTGAAACAAAACAAGCAGAGGCAGAACTTATTCTATGGCGTTTCTAGATGTGTCAGTCATGGATTAAGAACTATCTGGTGAATGAATCCATAACTACAAGGGGCAATCGGCATCTCATGTCTCACAGTGCAAAATAGTGCAAAACCATTTTCAGTTTGGAAAAGAGACCAAATTGAATGTATGTGCTTTGGAATTTATTTTGTGGTATTTTTTTGGGTTTTTTTTGAAAGTGTAATTTCTATATGCAGTCCTCTTATCCCAGAGCATTCAGTGCAGCACATGAATGTGATTTTCACTGACTTTCTCTGCCCACAGTGGTGGTGGAGGACAGAAGAGGCAGCTGGGAGAACATTAGAGAAGCTGCTACACCCATTCAGTAGAAATATTGTACTCTATTCAGGACAAATGAAAAAGATGGTGAGGACAATGCTCTGTGTGGAAAAGGAATCTACCAATCCTCTAAAATCCAAAAGCAAGACCTACTTCCTCAGCGTGTAAGTTCCATCTCAAGCAACGTTATGGTGTGAATTATACTTGAATATTCAAGACAGGATGTCTGAAGCATGGAAGATAGATGTGCAGTTGTTCAAAAGGTCTCAACTAATTTGCCCATCTGTGCTTGCCTTTTTACTGACTCATGACCACCACCTAATTTAATCCAGTTTATTCTACCTTCACCTTACATCCAGCATGGACATATCAGAAATCTCTTGCTGCTCTGGTCCTTATACTTCTTTACAGAAAAAGAACATAATAAAGCATCCAGACATGAACCTTAAATCCTACTGCATCAAGTTTTGAGGCCAAAAACCTGCTTCTTGGTTTTCCTGTACTTCATAAGACTTTCTCAATTGCTTCTGTTAGTTTTTAAAACTATTTTTCAGTGCACACTGGGCACAGGAGGTCTGGATGATGTTGGCATGATTACAACACAAAGAGGATTATCTCCTCCTGACATTAAATTCACTAATTCCTTGACATGGGTATGACACTGGGAATTGTCATCTCTTTCATCACAACTGACATGTACTTGATTAATTTCTTTCCAAAACAGTATTTCAAGTTTTTATTTTCTCTTACCTCAAAACCAGAAAGTTTATCTTTATGTTTACTTTATTCTGTAAGTTTGACAAACCAAAGTTTCAGAAAGTTCAATACATCCGTTTGACCCTAAAAGCATTTTTGTGTTTCCACTGTCTTAAACGTGTCTTTTACAGTGCATTTCCTTAAGGCAACATGAAGCACTAAACAAAGCAAACTAGGAGTGGGCAAAATCACCAAACACGGCTCATCTGTCAAACTTGGGGCACACAAAAGGTTTGAAATATGGTCTTAAGTAATCAGTGCGCCGTGGCAAAACACAGGGCATTTTATCTTGCAGTTATTTCTTTCTTCCATTTGTCTTCAGTGTCTCCACTTTACAGTGTACAAGCATCTGGTACATGACTAAGTATGTCCACTACACAGGGGAAGGAAACTAATTCTCTGCTAAATAAGAACAGACAGGAACTAGGAAAAAAGACAATCCTGTTTCAACTGGAAACAGCTGCAGCCTTAGGACAGGAACTTTTTTCCTTACTTAAGGTAGAGGTTTTTAGACCAGTGTGAGAATACAGTCAATGTATCATTGAAGATTATTTTAAGTTGCATCAAGATTTAAATTGCAGCAATTGCATGCCTTAAGATTCTGATGAGCTTGGAATTGCTGAGCTCCGGCCAGCAAAGTTCACAAGTAATTAATTTACAAGCATATTCTGAAAATCATTACTTCCCCAGTATTCTGACTGTTTAAGCCTACAAGTCAGTGTAGCAAAAAGTTTCTAAAAGGACAGAAAATACACAGCTAAGACAAAAGAACTTGAGTCCAACAGAGGGTTGGCTACCTAGTGATACACGCAAGCGAAGCTGCTGATAACTAGAATGGAAAAGCATCTTTGCAAATAACAGCTGGATTTTGCTATTTAGAGACCTGAGAGATTTACAGCAACTGGCAACATCAACATGAATGACGAAAAAAGCTATGACCAGAACCATTGTATGCTTGACTAATACTTCTTTGCCTATTTCAAGTGCAACTTTTCATAACTTATGTCTAATGAAACAAGTTGTGGTCCTCTCATTCTTCCAAATGTAGGCTAATATGCACATGAGACACATGTGTGCTTTTCAATTTCCTCCAGAAACCTGATATTATGAGTGCAAATAGGACAAAATAACTAATGTTATCTGAAAAAAAAAAAAAGACCTTTGAAAGAGAAACTGACTAGAAAAGGTGAGGGGAGATAGTGAGAAATTCCCACTGATTATTGGTAAAGCACAATAGCTGAATCCTGAAGTCAAGAGACAGCTACAATAACCACACACAAAACCACCTGCAGTACAGATGGAAGTCAGGTGAAAGAGAGAACCATAAGACCACATGCTTTGTGCATCACACAGAACTTTGGTCGTTACTAGCTTCAAATTTGATTAAGCCAGTTGCTTTGATGCATTTATTTTGCCCCACCTTGTGGTGAAAACCAGTTTACATACTGTGCTATAGCCATCTGATTAATCCCATCAAATATTCTACTACTATGAAAAGCTGGTATCAAAGATCAATAGATGATCCTAAAAAACACATCAGCTTGCAGAAATAGTCATTGATGATCACCTCAGCTACAGAAAATATCATTTTACTCCTGGCAAGAGATAGATACAAGAGGAATACTATTGTAAGGAGAGGGCAACTTAATAACAGACTTTCAAGTTTCAGGGTAGTCATTTTACCTTACATTGCAGTAACACCTGAGTTACTTGCACTTCAGCACTAATTCCTTATGACAGCAATACTCAGCCCTCAACAAGAGGGACAAAATTAGTGTAAACAAACCCTCAAGTCTATAAAGGTTTGACAGTATGACTATCCACAAACAGTCAAGAGCTTAAACTGACTCTTCCCACAACTCCCAGCAGTCATCTAGATAGTTTTGCTTTACATTTACACTGTACAAAGAACAGTTTGCATCACAGACCCAAGCAGCAATATTAAATTATCATGTCAGCAGCACATCTATAAAATCATAGAATTGCATTGGAAGGGACTTGTTGAAGGTCATCCAGTTCAATCCCCTTGCAATAAGCAGGGACATCTTCAACTATAGCAGGCTGCTGCAGAGTCCCATCTGAATGTTTCCAGGTGTGGGCATGGAGCCTCACTGGGAACTCTCTAACCTCATTACAGATGATGGACAATTCCACTGAGACAACCAGTTATCAACAAAGTTTAGAAATACCTGCTTCTTCTAAAGACCAGTGACTATCCAGTCCTAACTGAGGGAATTTAGCCAAGGCAGTAGCTAAGGCCAAGTTCTGCAGCTTCCCAGAACATACAGACAAGTCCCTGGTATCAGCGTGGTCTGTCAAAGCTCTAAAACGCTGTGCTAACACAAACTGAATGTTTGTTTTCAGCATAATGCCTAAATAGGAACTGGTTATTTATTTTTAATAACTAGACAGTCAAAGAACAAGTTCTAAAGAAGCAAGACTCAAAAGAAGTCTTCTCTATGACATTAGAAAAATTACATACCTCTAATGAAAGACCAGCAAACACATATCTTGCATTTTCTTTGGGTTAAATGGTAAAATTCAATTTATTAGTAAGTTTGCAGAATTTTCCTTTCAAAAAGAAGCTAACTTACCTAATACTGTTACAGTTGTTGACGACTGTATATTTCCAAGTGGGAATGTAACTGCCTTGCAAACATATTCTCCTGCATCAGAAAAGCTTACATTTTTTATGATGATTGTTGCATCAGTAAGTGAGTAGTTTTTAAATGCCACTCTTCCTTGGTATTCTCCTTGAACAGATATTCCATATTCAGGGTGATGAACAGCAATAGTCTCTGAACTTTTACCATATATCTTCTCCCAAGAAACTTGTGTTATTGTTTCATTTACATCAATTACGCATTTCAGTGCAACCTTCTTCCCCCAAACTGCTGTCACATGTGGATCAACAACTGGTCCAGCTAAGGCACCTAAAAACAAAGCAATTGTTAGTTGCTACACAAGAAAGTTACGTTGCTTGGTTTTCACAGTAAGCCTTCTTCCATAATTAGTTTACCTTTTTAGATGAGAATTCCTGCTTTTATCTGATTAACTGATTCACAACAGTGTGGAAATACTACAGAAATGCATTTCAAGCAGAAACATCAAACCAAGGCACAGATCAATAATTTTTCAGAGATTACTACCACTAATACAGAACTACATATAAAAATGACCTGACAATTGTGTAACTGGTCTAACAGTCTTTTGAGAGTTTAACTAGATATGAACATTCAGTGAATTCAGATTGACCAAAAAAACAAGACATGGTACTTTTTAGCAGTCTGATTACTGATACAGAGCATCACGCAAAAACTTAAGTTAACCTACTGCACTTATGTGCTCTCCTTAAACAATCTCTATTAAGTCATATCTTTTATAAGTAGAAATAAGTGAAACTTCTAGCACTTAACATGCCAGTAAATACTTCAAGAACAAAGCAACAATAAAAAAAAAACCCAAACAGAAAAGCCCCTATCAAAATCCCAGATTTACAGTGCCAGTCACTCAAAGACCTCATCTTGAACTTTCCTACCCTACTTCTTAATGAAGACATTTACCATCATACAGTTGCAGTCCTGCTGCTTCAGTGTAGTGGGCTGTCTTCACACAAGATCTTATCTCAGACAGTAAATATGCAAGAGGAGGCATAGTCAAGTGCTTGCTTAGGATTCAATGTATTTCTGCTTAATAGCTAAAATATCTTCCACAGTAGCAACTACATTCTGAGCTCAGCATTTTACACCACCCTCCTTTCAAATTAGGAAATCCATCAGGTCAAAGCAGTTCAACGTACCACGGGTTCACAATTTCTTTTGCCAATAAGATGCTCCAGCAAGTCCACTCATTAGTTCTCTCAGAGCAAACTAACCTGATAAACAAACTCTTAGTCCACAATGTATGTATTTTAACAGAGCTGTTTCAAATGCTCTGATTCTCTCTTCAGATACCAAGTCAGTAATCAAGCTGTTAACTGAGGAAGTTTACTGATGAAGCAAAAGTCAAGTATAAATTTTTATTTGCCCCATTCTCATAAGCATGAAGTCATTCAGCCTGAGATATGAGCTGCCTTTTCGCTCACCAAGCTCACACAAAAGGCAAGCCATGTGCTCAGGATAGAAGTCCTTAAAAGCCTTTATCTACATGTCCATTGCTAAAAGCTTTCTGCTTCCCATTGATTGATTTTTCATTGTTCAAACCATTTCTGAGTCAATGGAGTCACCCAAAAAAGTGATTCAAGTATGGATTTCTTCAGTATAAAACTACTAAATAACATCAATAGTTTGAACACCTTAAGCTACACAAATAAGTCAAACTAAGCTAGAAATTTAGACTAATACTGATGACACCTCAATAGCTAAGTGGGGCTGGTAAGGGGACAAAAAATAACAAAAGTAAAAAAAACCCATTACATGTTTCAAATAGAGAATAGCTGCCATGACAAGTAGTGCAAGAACATTCTGCCTATTCTCCTCATGCCTCTTATCTAACACATTATTGTGACAGACATTGGAAAGAGGGCAACAATTTGCAAACCAGTGTGCAGAGTTTCACCCAAACTGTATCTCTGCTTGCCATTGCTACATTTTAACACAAGGTGGAATGTTCCTTGAAAAGTATTTGACGATTGCTTTCTACCTTTTAAATAAGGCTCACAAGTTACATTTGTGAAATGGATTTCAGAATGTACAGGATATAAATATTCTGTAATGCAATTTAAGCAAAGAAAACCACTTTCATTCAGGAATCAGCTTTTTGCAACAGTCAAATCAACTGAATCTTAACCTATATTAAACTTTATCATAGTGATTAGCTTTCTATAACCCCAAACAACTTAGTACAGAAAAAAACCCACAAGTGAACTTACAAAAACTCTCAGACTTCTGGGGAAGGTAACAAACTGAACTGAAAAAACATCCCAGTTAACTGAACACATGAGCTCTTTTGCTACCTTTTACTTTTTTTTGACAACTCTGCTCCCAGGAACTGGAGGCTTTAGCTACATGAAGATGACCATTGTACATTTAAAAAGTCAATACTCAACAATTTTCCCACCAAGGAATACTTCTAGCAGCTCATTTCTGCCATAAGAACATTGTGTTCTCACATGAATTACATGAATATTTTCAGAAGTCAAACTTTTTCATTGCTGCTATTTTCAAGATTTACAGACTGAACTGAGCAGAACCTATATATATTTGTAGATATAAACACACTTGCAGCTATAGAATGTTGATCAGTTAGATCTTTTTCCTTCCCCTTCTCCAGCAAGAGCTAACATAACACAACTCCAAATTTTACATTTTTACATTTTATCTCATCTACTGACACACGTTCAGACTACAAAGGGGAAAAAAAAAATCAACTCATCTACCCAAATCATTTAACTTGAACTTTCATACAGCTCATACAACAGTATATAGACTCCAAAGTGTTTAAAGTGCTAGAAACAGTTTAAATCTGAAATGCTACATATTTTAGAATGGTATGTTTTGTTTTAATCTCCACCCAGTTATTATTTAACTAGCTATAGCTGCAGAGCAATCAAGCTAATAGTTCAAACTAGCAGCTAATTACTATGTAGATATTCAGGGCTCTCCAGTGCTCAGGATGCTTAAGATAAGTATTTCCCTTGACATAAAGACTTCCACTCAAGAGTCCGTATTCTGCTCACATATTGTAGTTGAATAACAAGCTACATGTCTTCCCCAAAATAAAACATTTAGAAGCTTATAATGCACAAGGTTCTGAAGGACAAGACACTTGAAGACCATGCTATACAGGTCCTTAATTGATGCATAGTACTGACACATAGGACATACATTTATTATTTTAATGAAACCTGGCCCTCCTCTTCTTGAAATCTGATCACCTCTGCTTGAAGTTCACAATATTGAAGTCTGTCATTCTCATCAAGCCTTATGGATACACTTGGTATTTACTTAGTAATCAAGATGTTTTGTAACTTCTCAAGGTAAACACAGCATCATGAGGCTTTCTTACATTTTGCTTATATTTGCCCAAGTTTTTAGAGATCTGCCTTCCCTTTCCTTTTTGCTCCTTTGGAGTATGTAAGTTCTGCTGTACCATTTCACATGCAGCCTGATGAGATTGCTATCTCAAGCACTTTAACATGATTCAATTTCAGCTAAGTCCCTATGCACTAACTGATTTTTGATCACAGTGATCCAATGCCATGCTTGACAATAAAGTCAAGAATCTCATTTTAAACAGTGAGGCAATGACTCTACTCACGTAACTTGACAGAATGTTTAAAGAATAAACAAAAAGATCCCTAAGGCTCACTTGCAGCATTAAAAGCCTCAGAACTAGGTGCTATCAAATACTGACCATGATAATCTTTTCAATGTCAATTCTGAATTAAGCTTCTACCACTAACTGAAAAAAAGATACTGAGGAATTATATGGCAACCTTCATAATACAACAAAGTATTCATGATATGGAATGACAGAATACTTTCTACATTTACAGGCTTGTTATTTGTTGCAATAAACAGCAGATTTAGATTTTCTATATGAAGCAGCAATGCACAAGCCTATTTATAAAAGTAACACATTTTGTTCCCAATTAACAGCACACTTCTGGCAAGACAGGGTGACCATACTGACCTTTCTAGCCACTGATTTCCCAAAACCTGCCAACTATTTCCACAAGACAAAGCCAAACTACAGAAGAGAAGAAAACTGAATTTTTTTCCCCTCTATCAGCAAGTTATTCAGCTCATGGGTATATGTGGCCTTAGCACAAACTAGTGGCAGGGAACTCAGAAGAGTTCTAATCAAGAATGGAGCAAAACAACAAGAACATCCCATTTCACTGACAGCAAGTTGCTGTCAGCAGAACTTCCCATGGAACACTTCTAAAGTCAGGCTAAACGTTATTGTTTGGCCAGTTTAATCTCAGCTGACATCAGAAAGCTTATTCTTGCAGTCCTCCTCCTCCTGTGTCAGCACTCATCAGGTACTTAAAAGACCCCTACCTACAAAAATTCACTTGTTCTCTTCCTGATTTAACCTTCTCAATTAACTCAGTCAATCACAAGTGGCAATACTACACAGGCAATGAGCACAGCTCCACAAATCTAGTAGCATTTTCATATTTGTTTAACCAGAAAAACAAAGCACTTTAAGACACTGAAGAAAACAAGCTGAAACCTCAACTTGAGGTTTTATAAAAATATATGCTTAAATGACTGGGAAGTCGTCAGTGTGTCTTTTGAGCTCCAGGGCATGATCAAATTACTGTGTCAAAAAAAGATCAGAACCAAGGAATGGAAGAGGTTCAAGATGAAGTAGTACAAAATGCCTCAGCACTAGCATCCAATTAGAAGTGCTAAGCAAGAACTTAGGAAAAAACTGTACTTTAATCAAAGAGAAAGTATTACAATCTAGTGTTACTCTCACCTAAGGATCTGCTTTATCACAATCCTTGCTTGAAGTGGACCATCAACCAGTTCTTTTGGGACAAGTGAGCTGAGATCAGGAACAGCACTAGATTAGCTTCTATAAGCATTGCATTTACAGGACTCAGCTCAAGTTCCCTTTTTGTTTTGTACAAAACTCACCTTATTTTTTTAAAGAAGGATGCCAGGGATGCATTAGTTCCATCTCAGAGAGCAAAATTTAAAACCTGTTCAGTGTTTAGCACACAGTATAATAGGCATATAAAAGCCTACCAGAAAGTAAATAAAGTTTCAGTGAAATGAGGCATCACAATTCAATAGTCTGAAGCCAAGACTACTGAAATTCTCAGGCTCTCTCAGGTTGCTTCTTCATTTTACTGAAGTTCAAGGGATTCTATCTTTTAAACCAACTTTACCTAATACCAACAGGAAACTAAAAACATTATGATGTGGCTCATGCAAATGCACCATTTGGAAATGGTTAACTTCTGAATGCTAACTTCCTA